AGATTATTTTGCTCCAGAACTTGATATGGTTCAGAATTAATGGAGCCCTCACAAATGTGCAGGTTATCCATGCCATGTGCACTAATGCACCTCGAGACCATCACAGATGCTGGCTTTTGTCGTCTGTCAGTCTTTTTGTTGTCCCTGTCCCAACTTCTTTGTGGAACACATTGTCAGCATGTATCAAATTGGGAATATAGCCCAAAGACATTTCTAAGATTCACAGTTGACATGTTGTCTTTGGGCATTTTTCAATGACACATGCTTCAATGTTTTGCAAATCACCACATTCTGTATTTATTTACATATTATACATGTCCCAATGATATATAATTAAAACAAGTGTGAAGTGTTATATCTTTAACCTCTCTCTCTGACACTACTGCTCTTAGATAGATTGTCACTTCCCCGTTTTTTTGTTTTTTTTAGACAGCAGGTCCTCGTCCAATGGCATAATGAGCTGCTGCAGAGTATACCGGAAGCTAATCACAAACAGATTGAGAGCACAAATCGAATGAAGAGCGCTGTGTTAAATTAGCCCCACACTTCTATGTGTATAAATCTGCATGTCTTTGATTTGACACGTCAGTTCAACAGGAACGTGTAATTCTTAGGTGATACGATTGGAAATGACAGCATCATACACAGCCAGTAAATACATTTTACGTTTGGACAAGCGATGGCTCGGGTCCAATAGGAGTCGCGTCAGTAATAAAAGAGAGAGATGGATCATTTCCAGTTCCAGCACCTGTCAGAGTCAATGCTCATTTCATTCTATTGGAATTCATGAAGGAGTTTTATCATCGTGGCTAATGAAGCGAGAGAGACCCGGTGATTTGATGTGTCTGCCAACAACATCCAATTCGGGTTAGCGATGGCTTAATAGGCACTGCTTATCATAAATGTGTTTCCATAGTAACGGGGGAGGATCAATATGAGTATGGACATTGAGTGACCCAGATCTGTATCATAAGGAGGAAGGGGGTGTTACAGATGTAGAGTGATCTGTGATGGATATGATCATCATTAAGTGCATTACAAGCATACACAGTTACACATCAAGCATGCATTCATGAAAAAAAACAGTTTACTGCACAGTAGGTACCGTTTTTTGTATGGTAGATAATGCACCGTCGAAATGTAACTTGCACCAGAAAAGAGACATTGCAGGAGTTAAAAAAGAACTTAACACTTTTTAAATGTGATTATTGCACACAAGAAGAAGAAAAATAGGAGACAGGGAAAAAGTATAGGACGTGTGTGAATTTTGCATATATAAGCACGTACTGGAGGCAAAACATGTATAGCTGACCCTCTGCACTTACTGTAAGCTACAGTATATGTGATATGTTATCTTTAATCCTTTCATTAGCAAAATGAGCTTAAACACAGGACTTTTAACATGTTGTTCTAACACTAATACGTGTCCCTAATCTGTCTACAATGATGAGAAAAGTCCATCCTCTCCGTCTTCTGCCTGCTCCACTTTTTAGAAAATGTGTGCTCAAACCGGCTGTTTAGAGATTTTCCCTTCATGACATCACAAAGGGCAGTAACCCCTTTGTTTTGCCCTCTGAGTCTGCCTCCTCACCGCAAACAACGGGACATGGAGCGAGAAAGCCCGAGACCACCCAAGCCCTTCCAGAGAGGGGGCGTGGTCAGACACAGCTCATTTACATATTTAAAGGTACAGACACAGAAACAGCCTGTTCTGAGCAGGGCTGAAATAGAGGGGTTTATAGGCATGATCAAATACAGGATCAGAGTGGATTTAGAACAAGAAACTTCACACACATGTTTTTGGGAGCTCTGAGACTGATTTAGACTTGTTAAAAAGGAGGATAATATGGGACCTTCAAGTTGAGACAAATATTTTCCCTCAATAAAGTCTTCAGATATGTTGTACAGATGGATTGTAATGAGTGGTTTAGGCCCTAAAGCAGATCGCACTGTTATTTTTGAATAGCTTGAGTCTTGGACTGCGAGCTTACTACTTGCAGCTCGTAGATAAAGTATGCCATTGAAAGACGTCCAACTAGAATCTGAAGTGTATCCCCTGTGTGGGGTTTGGCAGTAATTCAGTTACAAGGTGAGGATTTAAAAAAGGAGGATTTGTGTTGCAGACTGGATCTCTGGAAACACTGAAAGTAGGGCAGTCAGACACCTGCAGCTACTCACCACACCACCTGTTCACCGGTTATTTTCCTAGATTTTGAACTATTTCTGCTGCTGTGACCTACTCATAAGAGAGCTTTGTATTTGCTCTAGCAATAGCTGGCATGAAAAGAAGCCATGTAATGTGATTATAGTTTATCATGATGTTTTCAAGAACCAACAAAACAACAACGCATGGCCTCACCTCTTCTGAAATTCATTTTCGTTCAAGAAAGCATCAAAAAGAAAGCTTGTTTTTTATACAATAGGAGAATCATTTCCTTTCTTGCCTACTTCATAATGACATAATGAAACTGATTTGCATGTATCAACTCAGATAAAATCCCTGTCTTTTTATTTGATGGAGGTTGGTCTTGAAACACACAGCAGCGGTTTGCAGCATGAAGGAAAAAGTTCTATCTGGTGTCCTACATTTTCACAGTTACAAACGGATCAGTGTTATGAGTCATGCTAATTCCCTTTGAGACAGGTGATCTGCATGTCCCATATTTCCTAATTATGTAATCATATCCCTAAACATGCACACATACAGTCCTACTGTGCCTCCTGCATCCCTCATGGTAACCCTGTGGGTCTCACTATTTGGAGAACCTAATGAGATCATGTCTCATGGCGAGTAGATAAACCTCAGACAAAAGAGAACGGGAGCAAGACAATCGATTGCAAAAAGGGTGTCCCGACTCTGCACATGTGGGAATGTGCAGAGTTTACATCTAGGACAGTAGGACAAGTACAAGTAGTAATATCTGTAATGTGTGCAGACAGTATATGCAGGTGTTCTAAATGTCCCAAGGATGTTGGGATTGCTTTGATTTGACCAAAATATTGTAATACTGTATGTATGTATGTGATCTTTTCATGCTGCTTGATGCTTATATACTTGTGTGTAACCTCAGCAACAGGATATGCAAAGACAACTTACTAGTTGTCAAACATAAATATTGTTTACAGCAACATTTGACAAAGTGGAGTTTATGACATGGACAGATGTTTTAGCCCCATTATAGCAGCAGTGATGGGTTGAGGATCACCTTTTTTGCAAATATTGATACAGCAGACTATTTGCTAGCTTAGGTCTAAACTTGAAAACAACCATGATTGGGTTATTTTCTGTGCTATAGCTTATCACCAGCCAGACTAAGTTGCCCCCTTAGTGCAATCAGGGACACATGTTTGCTCACTTGTATTAAATCAAATAGATGACTGTAAATTATTGAGGGTGGCCCGTGTGATTAAACTTAACTCAGCTGTGCTTATCTGTGGATAAATTCATACCTGTTGTCCTACTATTGAGCAACACAAACTTGAATAAACACTTGGGTCTCTTTCTCTCTGAGTCGGTCTAAAAAGAGGCGACAAGAGGAGACAGAGTGCCTGAGATCATTAAAACCTACGTGATGAAATGCCATTTCACACAAGCTTTAGCTATGACAATTTTCAGCAGTAATTAGTAGATTAAAAAGGAGGATGGTCCTGATTCCCCACTGGTACCCTCTGGGAGAGGGGACGAGAATAGACTGGAATGAGTTCAACTCTCTGTCGGAATCAGAAAGAGGTCTGAATTTGGAGCACGAGTGAGAAGTTTGGCCTCTAATGCAGAGAAAGAAAGAGGTGGATATTAAGTCTGTCATTCTCATGGAATGAAATGGTTTACGAATGATGAGAATCGAGAGAATGTTAGAGGGGAGGTGTGGGATGAACCATGTAAAATAAGGGGATTACAAGACATAAACAGATTCACTGTATTGTACAATATCTTAGAGAACATATTTGGAAAACAGTTTCATAGTTTTGCATTGCAAGCCATTACAAATGGCTTTAAAGAAACAAACATATTTTAAAATAACATGTACGCATTTGTTTGTTTACACAGGTACATGCTTATCTGAGAGCATGTGTCACTTAAGTGTTGATGTTCAGGGCTGTTATTGTCTGCATGTTTCCCCCCTCTGCTGAGCCGACATGGACAATGTCGTCATGATGCAACAGGCAGCTAATCCTCTCCTTATGTAAACGCTTGACTGCTATTCAAATTACATGCAGAAGGGATAGACAGCTTAGGTTTTGGCTGGATAGCGCCACAACAAGGAATGCCTGTAAAGACACAGTGTCGTCAGCATATCTGCGATTAATGCTACAAGTTCTGTTTGAAAAAAAAAAAATCCTCGTCTTCAAGGACTGAGGAGATATTTGCAGGTGCACATACCGTAGATTTAAGACTGAGCTTGATGACCTAATATCCTTATGAGGTGCTGGGGGACCAAGGAGTGAATATGCAGGATAGGGGAAATATTAGTGCACGGTATGCATATGTTGCTATGATTAGAAAGAATACAAGCGGAGGGAACAAGTATAGAACAAACCCAGAGGAGGATTGAGTTAGATGTTTAAATGCCTGCAGCGTAAGATGATATCTGCGAGTACATTACAAAGATTTAAAATTGTATTAAAAAGTTGTCTTTGATATTTTATATTTCATTGCTATCCTACTACAGTAAGCTTTTTCTTTTGTTTCATCTCCACTACAGATTCTCCATCATTCCAAGGGTCTGTCTTCTTGTCTCAGTCCATCTGAAGTCAAAGGAGAGACTATGAAGACAAGCTGTGCCCCCTCGCAGTCAACTCCCACAAGATATGAGATGACATGGGTCCCCTGCTGATCACCATGATGACCGTACAGCTGTGTCCGGCGTTGTGAAGCCTTCATCCCTTTTTCAGCACCCAACCCAGACCCTTATTCTCTTTGGAAAATTTGTCCTTGCAACCAGTGTTGCTTCCCTTTCTCCTGCAAACAGGACTTCACTTCTTGCACTCCTTCCTGCCCTTACGTTTATCTCCTTAATATTTTCAGCTTACGCCTCCTAATTAATTTCCATCAGCATCATGCAGAGTGTTTCTACTACTTCCACTCTCTTTCTTCTTTTTCTTCCCTCCCTCTTCCTTATCTCCCATTTTCCCTGTATGGTCAATGGGGACTGCTGGCTGATTGAAGGGGACAAGGGCTATGTGTGGCTGGCTATCTGCAGTCAGAACCAGCCGCCTTACGAGACTATTCCCCAGCACATCAACAACACGGTCCATGACTTGAGGTTGAATGAGAATAAGCTGAAGGCTGTGCTCTTCAGCTCGATGTATCGCTTCACCAACTTGACTGACCTCAACCTCACCAAGAATGAGATCAACTACATTGAAGATGGAGCCTTTGCAGGACAAGCCAACCTACAGGTGAGGAAATAAAATTATAAATCTTTGCGCTCTACACATCATTTTTTAAACTGTCATCTCATCATGACGGCAGCAGATTACTCTGTTTAGAAAATTGGATGCCTTATAGACTTTATTGTCACTGTTTTTAAATATGTTGGACACTTAAATGTTTTAAAATTTTGGCTGATGTATGAAACTTGTTCTAGAAAGCATAGAAAGAGTGCAAATGTGCACAGAAACATATTTTAAATGAATGTCGGATCAAAATTCTAAGATGCCTTTCTAAAATCTGTTCCGAGACATTTCTGCAGTAGATGGAACATCAATTTTATTATTAACAGTACAAGTCATTGTCAAGTAACTGTGCCCAAAATGTCAAAAAAACATACTGATGCTCCTTTTTTTGTTTCTCTCAGGTCCTTCAGCTGGGCTACAACAAGCTGACCAACTTAACCGAGGGAATGATGAGAGGCCTCGGCCGAATGCAGTGTCTCTTCCTTCAGCACAATCTCATTGAAGTTATTGCCAGCAATGCATTCTGGGAGTGCCCTGGCCTCAGCAGCATTGACCTGTCATCCAACAAACTTGCCCGCATTGACCCGTCCACATTCACAGTTCTCAGTCGACTGATGGTGTGTGAACTGGCAGCGAATCCATTCCACTGCGGCTGTGATTTGTACAGCTTCCTGGCCTGGTTGGAGTCTTTCAACAATGTCACACACACCTATGACCGCCTTCAGTGTGAGACGCCTCGGGAGATGATTGGCTTCCCCTTACTTACTGCTGCTGGCCATTCTGGTCGGAATGCAAAAAACATTTTGTTCCACCATTGCCGAGATGGAGTTATGATGCCAGGAATGACTTCTCTCCCGCCAGATCTGGACGGACCTTCTGGGATCGGGCCAGAGATGTTTGGTGGTGTCGGGCCGTACCACCAGGCCACCACCTCTTCCTCATCTACTGAACACAGTTTTATTCCCAGCATCAAGCTCCATCATGTGTCATTATCAACAGCCTCGCTTCTTGTGCAGATTCCAAGGCCCTACAGCAAAATGTATATTCTTACACAATACAACTACACGTATGTTTCCGACGTCATGCCCTTAAAGAACAAGAAAGAGATGATCACCCTCAACAAGCTCAAATCACACACCAATTACACCTTCTGTGTGGCATCCATCCGCAACTCTCAACGCTACAACCACACCTGTGTCTCATTTTCAACTCGGGCTCAAAATCAAGATGACACACTTCCCACACCTTCCACCACTTCTCACTACATAATGACCATAGTGGGTTGCCTCTTTGGCATGCTCATTGTTTTAGGCTTTGTTTACTATTGTCTTCGTAAGAAACGGATGCATGATGAGAAAAAGAAGTCCATCTGTGTCAAGAAAACCATTCTGGAAATGCGCTATGGACCAGAGGTGGCAGCAGCGGTGGCAAATGATCCAGCGGCAGTCCACAAGCTTCAGGAGCAGTCCAGAGAACACCATCAATATCAGCATCACCATGGAGGAAAACTCCCCATGTCAACATCCACGAGCTCTGGGATGCTTCACTCTGCCAACACCAGTTCCTCCAGACTTTCCACTATCCCACAGGTGGAAAAGATGGCCACTGCTTTTTCAGAGGCCATGGCCACAACTAAAGGAAATTATATGGATATCAGAACTGGAGGGGCAGGGATGGAGAGGATGGGAGATGGTGGACACGGAGGAATGAGGGGAATGGATTTGAGGGACGATAATGGAAGTGATGTTGGGGATGACTCAGATGATGACGGACACGGCTCTGCATCAGAGATTTCTACCATTGCAATGGAGGTCGACAAGGTCAACCAGATCATTAACAATTGCATTGATGCACTGAAACTGGATGCAGCAGCCGTAGCAGCTTCAGGGGCCTCTACCAACCCGACAGCCTCCTCCAATCCCACCTCCCCTCCCCCCACCAGCACATCCTCCCTTACCCGTGGCCTAATCCCACTGTCCCAAGGGTTGACAGAAACATGCCAGATGATTACTCCCAACAAAATACCCCCTCCACCTCCACTCCCTGCCTTAAATACCCCTCTCTCTGAGCGCCCAGGGATCACTGGTGGTGGCTATGTGGTCTCTCCCCCCTACCGGCCCCCTCCACCGGCCACTGCTGTACGTCCCATTCAGAGGCAAATGAGTGCAGACGCCGCTGTGGTTATTGTAAATGCTGTTAAGAAACAATGTAGCACCACATCTTGTGGCTCCATGGGTAGGGACAGAGAGCGTGGAGGAGCCAGAGTATACAGCCTGGATGTTCCTGAGCCAAGAAGCCCAGATGCTTGTAATCAACAGCAGCAGCAATACCCAGACCGTGCCAGTCCCGTGGGCTGTGGGGAGCCCCTTGAGAGGCTGCCTTTAGTCGGGAGTGGGAGCTGTGGTGGTGGTGGTTGCGACAGTGGTGGTGTTGGTGCCCAACATCAGGACAACCAGAAGTCTCATCATTACCATCAACAAACGCAACAACAACAACAACAACAACAACAACAACAACAACAGCAACAACAACAACAGCTAGAAGTGCAGCAGGACTACCACTGCTCGGAGCACCGCCACTCCGTCCCAGCTCTCTACTATGAAGGCTCCCACCAGGGCTCCCCAGCCCAGAGGGTTTCCTTCCTTAAGCCCCTAACACGAGCTCGCAGAGATGCAGCATCTTACTCCCAGCTCTCGCCTGCCCGCCACCATTCCGGTTACTCTGGCTACTCCTCCAGCCCAGAGTACTCCACAGAGAGTACTCTGAGGATCTGGGAGCGATTTCGTCCCTACCGGAAAGGCCAGAGGGATGAGGCCTGTTATGTGACGGCCGGAAATGCCCTTAGAAAAAAGGTGCAGTTTGCTAAAGGCGAGGACCTTCATGACATCCTTGATTATTGGAAGGGTGTGTCGGCACAGCAGAAGCTGTGACTAAGGGACTAAAGCAAATCAATGAGGGAAAAGAGTTTGGATACTTCTCTTTAGATAGGCATGATGGCCTGAGAAGAAAGAGGACTTCATTGTTGGACAACATTTTGCCTTTGGATTATTTTTGGCATGCTAGGTGTATAGAATCTTGTGCTGGGAGCTAGGACTGAAGCTGTGCCTAGGATATACGCGAGTCATCATGGTGTTTATTTTACACTTCATTGTAGCACCATCTCTGGATAATTCTTATTCAGTGTTTGTTGGTTTTATTTAAAGCACAGGAGGCAAATGCCAACTGCGTTGTTTAGTACTCTTGAGTGATCATCTTTTGTGATCATATGGACCATCTTTACCAGTGCCATGTTTTCATCTATGGGAAACCACAGAAAGTACATTTTGATACCATTCATTTAAAGCCTGTGTGATCCAAGTTGTTTCCTATTTTGTATTGGGTGCCGTTTCATTTTGCAGTGTGCAATTGGATGTGTTTAGACTTGTACTGAAGGCAGACCATGGTTGGATGGTATTCTGCTTGATTACAAGCGACAACACACCAATTTATGAACAGTGTTGTCATCTGCAGGCCCCCACCTTCCTTCCATGAGGTCCTTCATGCAGCTGAGGTGGAATTTGCATTTCAAAAGTAACGAAAGGAGACACTGGAAATAAAATAAGTGGGCTTTAAGATCCTGCTAGAGAAGGACATCATGAAAGAGAGATCAGGGTATAACCTTAGCCTAAAACAATGTTGTGACACATCCCGAGTTGCTAAACAAATTTTTTAACTTTCACTGTTCCAAAAATTGATTATGAGGTTTAAGTGACATTAAGGTTTTCCAACAGATGTCCAGAACTGCCCTTAACAGCATTTGCCCAAGTTATGATCTAGGTCTAGATTTTGAGTGCAATTCATAAGAGAATATCAGGCAAAAGTAATGTTCCTGTCATAACATAACAAGGAAATACTTGCCTGTGCAACACAGAAATATAACATATTAATGAGTTCACATAAAGCCAGGGATACACTGTGCGATTTAAGGCAGATTCTGACCCATTTTCTTTAGTTGGATGCCTGAATTTGAAGTCAGGCCAAATTTCAGCCCGATGACACTATGTGGGTATGGGGGGTTAAGGAGTGTTGATCGGGGCCTGATCTGCTGCTCCTGACCAGTTGGTTAAATTCCTGCACACACTAGCACACTGAGAAAAGGGCCACAAGCCAATTCCCAAACTTTAGGGCTTCTTTTTTTCCTGATTGAACCTGCGTGAACCGTCAGTGAGAGTTTTCATGGAAAACGTCATTGACAATTGTTAATGCTCCGTCCCTTTTTAACACGTACAGTGTGAGCACTCAGGTCGTACTTGACAATCGGACCATACAGTGTGAACACAATCTGGTGTCTTCTCGAGGTGGTCGTGTCTAACAGTGTGAGATGACATTCCACCCCGACTATTTCACAATCGTACAGTGTATTCCAGGCCTGAAGCCGCTCAACAAGGCATCACACCGAAAAGCAGCCACTTTAATGCAAGTGCATGAAATGCAAGTTAAAAGAGAAATCTAATTGCATCCTTCAAAGTGACAACCATACATTCCAAATCCTTTCTCTGACATGAAACCTGAACGAGGCACTGAGGGAAAGGACACTTATCGTTACTGCCGACGTGTCTGCTCTGTTCTTGGAGGTACTACTTTGGTGTCTATCGATAACATTATTTGACAACTTGTGACAGGCATGTTCACTTGCACTTTACGCCTCATGATTTTGTGTGTGGCTGTGTGGTTAACAGTGGTCAGTGTAAGTGGGTGTTGGCATGCCTTGTCACATAACATTATATGTGCCCAAACTGACTTAAATTAATAGGAGTCAGTTTCTTTCCAAGTGGCTGGATGTCTGAGTCTAAACAATACTAGATTATTAATGGCATGATTATTGTAAAAAAAAAAAATCAAAATGTTCCTTGTACTTTCCCAGACATATGTTACATGATGCTCAGATTCTCACAGGAGCACTACAGTATGTCTCCTGCTTACACAGCCATAATGTAAGCTCCAATCATGTTTAGTATTATCCATTCATCTGGCCCATAATATTGTAATGATGTAAAAGGAATTTCACTAATTGATAAAGTCACTGCCTGTCATTCTGACACTGCCATCATCCATCCCTAAAGTGTTGCTTTGCTGTTTAATTTTTACACTGTCAGCTGACGTTCACACAATCTAAGACATAGTTCCCTAAAAATGTGAAAAGTGAACCAGTGGTCCTCGCTCCACATTTGTTCAGTTCTTTATTCACAAGAAACAAAATGTAAAGTGACACTTCTAATTTCAGTAGAAAACATGTATCTCTCATTTTAATTCGATGCTGTAGATGATGCTTTTTTGGGCCAACCTTCCACCACCTTCGCAGCTCTGACAGGTCTAATGGGATAATGGTTTGGCGTTGGTGTACTGAACATGTTTCGTTTCATTAAATCAGAAAAGTGAGAAGATGGATTTCTTAGTTTCATACATTTTCCTTTCCGATTAAGAAATTCTGCCACCTTTTAAATGGGACAAATGTACTTCCAAGTGCTCTTCTGTGCAAACGTAATAAAATAATTTGATTGAATGAAAACTCTTAGATGATGAAGTTTCAGTGTTGGTGTGAAAAGAGCTAATCTGACCAATGATGTACAAACAGTGTTTCATCAAAGCCCACACGAGTGCTTGCCGTAGTTGGAGGGGAAAGTGTTAGTCATTAGAAATAATTGCATGAGAAAGAAAGCCCGATGCCAAAGTAGCCACAGGAGAAAATGCAAATTTCAATTTTTCTTCACACAAAACTCAAATCGGATGAACTCGTCTGTCCGGAGGCAGTTTTGGAAGAGGTACCAAACCTAATAATAAAAGCTAACAAATCATGAGAATACATGGGAGTTTTAAAACGGAAGCATGTCATTATACCTGTTTAATGCCCCTACAAAAAATACAAGTTAAACTAAAAAAATCCTTCTCCTCCATCTCGGCTCTTATCCTGGTTGTACCCCTGGAGGAGGGCTCACTGGGAGATCAATGGTCCATTTAGTAGCTACCGTCCTTGCTGTTTGTCTCAGCGCCGCGGGAAAGCCAAACGTGAGAAAGCCATCTAATGTGCTATTAATGTTTAATCCTTCTGTGGAAGGCTGGCTCGGGTCACTTCCCCCTATCTCTGTGTGTACCGCCAGAAAATCTCTGACGCTTCAGTTTCTACCATGTTAATCCTCTGATGCTCTCTTGTGTTTAAAGACTGGTGCAATTAAACTAAACTCCACTTTCTTAAATAATGAATTCAAGTCCCAAATAGGATGTGGCTTTATGTCCAATCAGCTTCTAAATGACTAACAGAGTTAAACGTTTCCATTAGTAAAGAAGACAGTAAAAGGTTCCAGTCTTCCCAGGACTCAGTGAACTTATTACCCACGTGTTTGTCCTTGAAGCACCTACAGTCAAAGTGAGACGCTGGTTTACTGAGCCATCGTCATTGTTTGAGGGTAACCTGAGGATGCAATACTAATACTAGTCACTATTACAGAAAATAAAGTGGAATTCATAAGCACGGTTATTAACTGGATCATCTGTTACAATCAAGAAGGATATCGGTTAGGGCTGTACCATACACAGAGGTCAGTCCGTACCTTGGTTTGTTACAAGATCAGTACAACAGGAATAAACCAACAAAAGTCCACAATAACTAATCATATGTTTCTCTAATTTGTTTTGAAGCACACAGGATGTAAAAGCTTCGGTAAAGTCTTCGACCCTCTTTTACAAAAACAGCAGGTATAAGTTGTTGGACACCTGCTGTCTTTTGTGAGCTCTGGTGATTAGCACCTCTGGGTGACGCAATCTAATAATTACATTCTTAAAGGCCCAATCTGTAAGATATCTAGTAATTGAATCAGGTCAGTATGTCTTCCTTTTATGTTTAGATTCTGGTCCTGAATGGTCTGGATTTGTTTGGACCAGAGAAGGTAGGCGGTTTTAAGGCACCCCCCCACAAGGCCCTTTTGGACTAGTTATCAGGTCAAACCAATACAAGTTGAAACGATTGAAGCGGGCATGCAAACTGGTTCAGCTCCATTTTTCCCCCTGAGGTTGTCGCTTCTTTAAGACAGATTCAGAGCTGGCTAAACACTGAAGCTTCCGTGCCGCAACATGGCAAACTCTCTAAACATGCTTTTACTTTGACTCTAGGGAGGAGGAGACAGCTCTCTCCATTGTTTTGAATTTGGACTGAGTACCCATTTTAAACACTAGTTGTCAGAGTTACAAATTGATCCTTTAATTCATCAATATTTGACTCGACCATTAGGACAGAGAATGAGGCTTATTGAGTGATTTTAAAACATCTTTCTCTCTGTGCTCCCTTTACCTCCAGGAACACAAAGAGATGGTAAAAAAAAAAAAAAGACCATGGAAAGGTGAGTCAGAATGAGTCAGAGTCTGACTCAACAAAAATGACTCTTCTTGAACGCAGGTAATGGGTAAGGTTTTCAAAGAGAGGGGAGCAATAGGGGAGATGGATTTTGGCTGAATGCAGATGGACATCTAGGGTAAAAAAAGATGAGGATACGTGACTACTTAGAAAACTCACCATGCATGATTCAGAGGCATATAGTGGAAACCACTCTTACAAAATATATTCAGAAACATCAGCTTGTGTCATGACTCAAAGCAGCCCCCCCTTCAAAGCGGCATTTCTAAATTTTTAAGGCAGGTGACGGGCAGGTTTTAGCACTGACAGTGGGCTGCACATGATTCATTTGATGTCTTTAGACCTTTTGTTTAATACTCTATTAAATCCATTAGCTTACTGTGTGGGAGATTAGCTAGTGTGAATAATGTGCCAAATTTGATAAATGTGAAACTAAACTATGTCTCCCGATGAAGGCTGAAGAAAGGCTTTTGTGAGGCAAATTATATGCATGCCAATTCTTATACTTCCCCTTAATGTGAATTCAATTTGTACCTGAAAAAATGAAGTCAGCAGGAACAAATAAAAAAATGTGATGGCATGACAGATTTCTTGGTCACTTTTCACACTTAAGAGGCAGCTGTGACGGACTGAGCACTGCCGACACTGCCTTTCCAACTACCAAGCACTCAAAACATCAGGACGTTGAATGC